TCAACACTGCCATAATACTACAACAGTCAGAGACACCGACCTTAAATTAAACCGCAGGCAGCAAGACTCAAAGACCACACCCGCTAACTCTTACACTTCTGGTAACGCGTACTCTCACCCAAGACTCTCCTCAGGGGACTTGAGAAGCAGCACAATCCCGGAAGTTAGGAAGACCACAGCAGCTAAAGGAATAATCGCAACCCCAGGAAAACAAAGCTTTCAGGATGCCATAAATTGATTATGTGAACAACCGTTGCTGAGCACAGCACCATGCACACCAGACTCCAAACGGCGTCGCACCCCAGCCCAAAGAAAGACCACCCACGGCTGCAGCACAACAACAGCAAAAGCAACGCAAACGTCCCAAAGACAGACAAAGGGAAGAAGCACTCCTAGGCGAACAACGCTCCACGGTCGGCTAGCCGTTTAACATCTCAGCACAGAAACTAAACAGGGGACTAGAATCAATTTAGTCCTTAACTTTATGTTTTACTCAATTTGGTATTTTCTTTAATGTTTTACTCAATTTGATATTTTAACTGCAATTATTTATAGATTCTTTATTCTCTTTAATTCCTTATTTATCTAAACTCTCATTAATATTTTATCCTCAAAATATCTTCTTCCAAATATAATATTATAAATATATTTTATAATTTTAGATTGTATTTGATTTATTAAATAATATTATAATATGAAAAAATATATGAAGAAATATAATATATATATCTTAAATGATTAGAGAAAGTCGAAGACTTGAAATCAATCCTTATCATAATAATATAATTAAATATAATTAAATTTGTATATAAAAAATTGGACAACTCAATTCGACTCGGAAAAATACAAATTAAGTTTGAGTGATAAAATACAACTCATCAACTCGAATAACTCAAAAAAATTACTCGACTTGACTCAATTATCGAATTTTCACCACTACATCTATTATCAATAAAAAAAAGTAGATTCAATTATAGGTATTTGAATTGTATTTTTTATCGTAAAAATAAAATATATGTAAATAATAGATATCTAAAAATTGATATTTTCATGAGTTACGGATATTAATTAGAATATCAGAGTTTGCCATACTCAAATATATGAAAAAATGGTTGGAAATATAATTGGAAAACGAGGTGTTAGTACTAACATGATAAATAAATAAATAAATAAAAAGAAATAAGCAAACAATGACTCGTGGTAAACCAATGCCTTAGAAGTATACTCATCCCGATTGATGTAATCGATGTACTAGACGATATCCTCAAGGTTAACACAGTATCTCTAAAAATTTCACACCCGAAGTTTGAATTTGATGTTGGTGGTATTCATACCATACTTGTATGTTGATTCTCCAGCATAAAACAGACAATACGGTTGAAATTATATAGTTATTTCTGTTGTATTAACAACTGTTGTAATAGCTAAAAAGAAAGATTGGATTAAAACTGCAATAAAAAATGATTTAAACTTGTTAATAGAAATTACAGTTTTAATTATCAGTAATTAATTTAAATTTAATTCTTTTCAAGTTTAAAATTGTCAATGAAAAATTCATAATCTACAAAGATAATACTCGTAAAACACATATCAAAGACATGTATTTAGACGAACACGAGTCGAGTCGAACGAACGACTACGGAAAACAAGTACAAAGACCTTACAAAGTCCTTACAAAGACCTTATCACTTTACATTCAATAAGGAAAAACCTCTTATAAACATATCTAAAAACTCTTTATCAATGTGAAATTTCATTCCTTTACCTTCTTTAAACATTACCAACAATCCAACATCAAATATTCAAATCTGCGCACTTAATCTGCCATCCCCTTGTCCCACAAATATATGGATATATCTTGAGATGTTCGATAATAGTTTATATGTGATGTATGAATTTCATGCATAATTATAAATAAGATAATAGATTCTATTCATCATTCTGTATTATTTATCTAAGAGAATAATACAGAATTGCACTCTCCATTGTTCTCTGTTTCAGTTTCACTCTACTCTTACTTTATTTCTTTATGTTTCCTATTAAATTTCCTTTAATTTATAATAAATAGTTATATTCCTGAATAGTAAACTTGGATATATTAATAATATATTTGTTTTCAGTTTTTAATTTTAGGTTGAGTTTTATGCTTAAAAATAATTTAAATAGTAGTAAATATGAATACCAAACACATATAACTAATGAGATGAAATATTAATTATTTCAAGAGAAGACAATAATTAATTCTCAATCTCCTTCAACTTTATACTTTTCATTATCTTAATAACTAATTTTTTATGTTATTAAGTTTTTAGCCGGTTTAGTATTACTTTTAAAAAGGAATTTAAAAAGTACCGTAAAAAAATACTTTTGAAAATGTTTTTGAAAAGTGCAGTGTATAATTTAATTTTTTAGATTATTATTGAAAAGGAATTTTGAAAAAGTACTGTAAAAGAATATTTTTAAAAATGTTTCTGAAAATTGCAGTTTAAATTTTTTTATTAAGTTAAAGGTGGTTAAAAAGTAATATCTGTTATAAATAATCTTAACCATTTAATAATGAACCCTTAATGACTCTTGCAGTCGTTGATGCTCAAACTCATGACCTCTAGGAACAACAACAATTTATTTAACCACTGAGGTAAATTGGTTCGTGCAAGTGCAGTTTAAAATTTAATTGTTTAAGATTACTATTAAAAACTAATTTTAAAAAGATAAAATATTCATTTTAGACATATGTTATAAATTAAAAATATAGTATTTGAAGACAAAAATATAATTTCACTTCAAAAGTGATTTTTCACCGTAAAAATTAAAATTTTGAGCTTTTGAGCTTATGTTAAAAACCACTTTTCCAACCATGATTTTAAATCAAAATTTGGATGTTTAATATTGTTTATGAGGTAGAAAATCACTTTTCTATTACGAGAAACATTCTCAAAATGGCCAATAGATTTAAGTATTGAATAGCTTGGGATGATTATAATGTATTATTTATTAAAAAAATTAGTCTATTGATAATGTACATATACTCTACAGACATAAATGTTCGACCCAAATTATCTAAAAATAATAATATTTTTTTTTACTACTAAGACCACTCAATGTCTCTAAATCCACCTATATCTTATGAAAACTAAAATCCATTCGAGTTTATTTCACTTTCTAATAGAATATCTCTAAACTTGATTCATACAAAATAAGCCTAAATGGATATAAATGCAAATAATAATATATTTTACATAATTTTTTTTAAATTTAATTTTTTTTATTAAACTAGATTAAGTATAAGGTATTATCTGTCTAAAAATAATTCTCAATCATTTAATATCAAACGCTTACAAACATTCATGATACTCAAACTCAAAACCTCAAAAAATAACAATTATTTTATCACGGATGTGAGTTAGTTAGTACTCACATTTGAATTCAGATATCGTATAAGTTACAAATGCAATTTCGAATTCCTAATTATTTCCCGAGTGTAGGGTTCTGCTAATAGTAGAATAGTACGATCCGAGTAAATGGATGAATGCAGGCGACATGGCCCACCCTCTTAAATGGCCGTTAGCCCAAACTCCGGTTCACGGTTTTTTTAAAACCGTAGGTCATCTCCTTCTTCTTTTCTTAATTTTTTAAGGGTAAACTACGTATTTAGTCACCCAACTATCATTATTGTTCAGTTTTGGACACCCAACTTTCTTTTGAATCATCGTTAACGTTACATTTTGATTTTATTTTGGTCATTTGCCATTAAAAGATTAATAAAACTACTAATGTGTCATTTTTATTTTTTCCAATGATGACATGACATTATCTTATGATAACACGTCAGTATTATCATTGATTAGTTTACTGTGGGTGACTAAAATGAAACCAAAACATATCGTCAGTGATGATTTTAAAAAAATAGTTGATGGACCAAAATGAAATCAAAGTGATAGTTAGAGACTAAATATGTAATTTATCCTTTTTTAATTATTGATATATAATTTATTAATTGATTAATTCAGATGGTCACAACATAGATGTATTATAGAAATGACTTTCTCAACTCAATTTATTTCATTCATGATTTTAAGATTTAAACTTATGATCTTATTAAAAAAAATTAATAATTTATCTCTTTAAATTAGTTGATTGTTGGTAAGAATTATTTCTTTAAATTTACACAATACCATATAAGATTCTTTGTTGAAAAGCACGACACTAACGAAAATATCTAAAACATTGATGAAAATGCTGACCCCCTTTCTTAAGTTTTATATTAAGTTGATGGTACAAAAACAAGTATGTTATCATGATAGTTGCTTTTTTAAACCCACATTAAAAAACTAATATAAATAAACCCACTTGCATGGTGGTGTAAACTATTTGTGGCTTATAAATTCGATGAGGCACATGGGACAACTTGATGTTGACATTCATAACTTACTTATATTATCTCTTTAATCCCTCCGTTCTCTATGTATTAGATGTAAACTAATTACTTTTATAAAATTAACTCTAAGATTAGACCATCATTAGCCTAACTACTACTACTTTTATTTTTTTCTTATCGTGATTCATATTGTTTTTATATGTTGCATCTCATTATTAAAGATATTTTATAGATTTTTTTTATCAGTTTTATATGAGACTCTTCGAATAATATCGTTAAGTGAAAACTAGTTGTCACACCTCGAAGTTTAGACAAAATTTTAAGGGACCAAAATGGATAATTTTAAAGATTTTTAGGTTAAGTTTAAATATATAGGAAGTTCATGGACTAACTCGTAATTTTCCTATAATCAAAAATATCATCTGACACAAAAAATTAAATGGTGGTTGGAAGGCTCAAACTCGTGACCTAGGAGATGGGCACCCATGCCTTAGCCATCTAGCCTAGGTTATTATTGGGGATTACTATAATAAAAACAAATATTAAGGGTTATACTTTCAGGTTAAAATACCCAAATCAAATACCTTCTACATTGGTAAAACCCAAAAACAACCCCAAGTCCTCAAGTTTGCTCAGGCGATTTACCCCGCTCTGATTGTCGTTGTCGTGCACCGACACCACTAATCGAACCAGCGCCCTCCCATGACCCGTCCCCAACCGTCAGACCACCGAATTCAGTCCCTATTCGACGTGAAGAATGAGAAACCCGTTCATCGCCTCTCATCGTCGGTCCCCGCTTCGGCCGACAGTGTAGGTCACCGCCATCTCTCTCGGGAGCTCCTGGTCACCGCGGTTACAGTCCTGTTAACCACTTATCGTGCCTCCACGTCATTCGTCGTGGAGTAGCATTTGAACGTCGCCAAACCCACTCCCATCACCTCGGATTCTTGCGTTTTTCGATTGCCTAGCTCTTCGGTTTGACTCACTGCCGACTTGGTTGAACTCCTCTCCTCTATGCAATTAAAACCAACTGGTGAGTTAAGTTGTCGCCGACGTTTTCTTCCGTTCGCCGTGGGTAAGCCTTTAAACGCTTAAATTTTATTTTTGTCAGGATTTTTCACTTATTTTTTAGCTTTTTGGTATTGTAAGTGATGAATAAGTGATTTTGGAGAAATCAGTCGTCGCCACCGCACACACTGCCACATGTCGGCGGTGTGTGTGGGGCTCCTCTGTCGATCCAAGAGCCTTCTAGAACCGATCCAGTCAGACCGAACTGGTCTAATCATGCTGAACTGGGTCGAACTGAGTCAACCCGATTGAGTCAACTTAAACAGTGTCAACTCATTGACTTTGACTGACTGTTGACTTTGACCAGCGTTGACCGTTGACTTTGATCAGAAATTCAAATTTTTTGAAAAGTCATATTTGATTTTTTTGATGTCCTAAATCCATTTTTTGAAAAGCTGTTTTTTAGCGTTTTATCTTCTGATTCGAATAATTTTCCTGATTAAGTTTCTTCTTTGACGTAATTTATTTTTCCATGTATCTAAGACTTTGTGGGACGACAAATTCAAGTTCGAGAGCGATCGAATGAAGTTTAAATGATCGGTCGATATGACTCGAAAATCAAGTTAATACTTTACTACCCTATGCATGTTTTTTGGTACTTGTTGGTATTGCTAAGTGCATGTATGAATATGTTTGGTCTTATTTGTATAATTAATTATTTCTAAACTCAATTCGAATGCGGTAAAAAACAATTAACGGAATAAAACTCTGATAGCTCGTATAAGAAATTAGAAGATTTTTAAGGAACAATTCCAAGTTCTGTGATTAACCAAGGAAGTGGTTAACCTCATAACCCTTAAATTTTGATTACTCTTGTAAAAATTGAAACACCGAAAATACCTAGATGAGAAATTAGTGAATTACCCTTGAGAGGTAAAAATAACCCGAATTGACCCTGATTAAGAAAGTACCTTAAGAATTCGTATCTAATATGATAAATTACTGATTTAACTTTTAAATTCCTACTTTTTTCTAAATATTATTATAAACAGTTTGTAACCTTTGAGAAGGCACAAGACCTAGAATTTCTGATTTATGAGCATACACCCGAAGACTAACTTATTGAAAGTACTCTTATTGTCAGAATTATTTGAAATGATTGAAATAAATGACAAGTTTAAATTAATTGGAAGACTGGGCGGAAGGAAATAACTGAAATACCCTTGAACTATAAAATGACCAAAATACCCTTGAAGTGTAAAATGACCCAAAGTACCTCCAAGCCCTAAAATGACTAAATACCCTCAAGCTCCAAAAATGAATAAATCAAACTCGAATACCAAAATGATCTAAATACCCTCATGACTTTAATTGAGCAAATGTCTTGGATAAATTCTAAATATATCAGTGAAACTTTAAATGCGGTAACACCCTTGAGGTTCATAGAGTACTACCTAAGTAGGTTGATCAGCCCTAATACTATTACAATACGGGAAGTAATTAAATACCACTTAAATACATGTTTGTATCCTCATGATTAGTCCAAAGATTGTTCCGAAGGTGATAAGTTTGATTATACAATGCATTCAGTTTTAAGAAATGAATATTCGTGAAGTTTTCTCTACCTATATACTTGATAAGTACTGTCTTTGTTGGATTGTACACTGCGATTGGAATTGGAAACCTGTTAAGATGTTTAAAATCTGGGATTCTATAAATCTCCGCATACCCTTATTAAACTGATTTATCAAATTTCTCATGAATCAAATTACTATAATATCCTTGTGAATCTGATTGACGGAATCACCCCTAGAATATCCAAATCTTAAATAATTCTGATACAACAATTCTTAAATACCCTTCACATATAACCAAACACTAAATGATCTTGATGTATCACTTTATGTATGATTATTAATCCATTAGCTATCGAACCCATTTTAATATGGAGCTCAATTATGAAATTTTATCAAATTACAAAAGTTTTATGGTTCTCTATATGATAAATACCAAGTATCTCCGGAGAATAACTGGATCCTCTAGTGTGTTCCCTATGTGTTATATGATTATTTTATCTGTCCTGAAATATGATTTACTAAAGTTACTATTTTACTGAATCTTTTAACTGTTCAATATTCTGATTTACTGATGTATTTTTTACTGTTTATAAACTATGGCTACCTGATATGTACTCTCTGGTTACATGTTTTCACTGGAAAATATAATCGTTTTTTATTTATGGATCATGAAATCTACTGGTTACTACTTGAACTATGTTATTGGGACACTATCTGGGTAGGCTGGAGTACGGAGGTTCAGCCCTGATCAAGTTGGTAATTCCTTATGGACCTAAGGTATTCCTTGTGTAGGCTAAGGCCCCAAGGCACTCCCTTAGTATGTGACTGTATTTTAGTGTATGAATAGAGGGCATTCACGTGATTTAAATAATTACATTGTCATTTTTACAACATTTTACTGGATCATGATTTTAATATTAAAGTTATTGCTCAATATGATTTCTATTGGATACTGTATGGGTAGGAGCCTGGAGTACGGAGGTTCAGCTCTGATCAACCTGGTAAATCCTTACGGATCTTGAGGAGACCCTTGGGTAGGCTCATAAGCCCCAAGGTACTCCCTTATGATGGCTCCTTTGTTGTGTGCTTAGGGTAAGTCTTATGGATGCAGTTATGGGAAAATTGTATATCGGTGTTTGGTTGGAGGGTATCACTACTAGAAAAAACTCCTTTAATGACGCGCATTGCGCGTCATCTATGGGTGCGGATGACACACATTTGCCTGTCATTGAAGCCACCGACATGAATTTCAGATGATGCACAATTGTGCATCATAAATTTATGACGCGTATTTATGACACACATTTATGATGCGCATTTATGATGCGTATTTATGACGCGAATTTATGACACTCATTGCGCGTCATTGAAGTCCCCGTCATAAATGAAGACGACACACATTTGTGTGTGATAAATTTATGACACGCATTTATGACTTACATTGCGTGTCATTGAAGCCCCCGTCATAAATGAAGATGACACACATTGTGTGTCAAAGAGTATATGCACTCAGTTTCTTTCCCATAATTATCAGTATAAATAAAAGAAATTAAACACATTTTAGTTAAACAGAATCAACATAACATAAGAAACATGATAATTGTGGGAATTTACAATGTAAAAGGGACAATCCAACCAACTGGTAGTTGCAAATCAAAGAAAGTCATATGGCTTCAAATTAGATCGTCATTGTTCTTAGACTCTTAGAACATAGAAACATGGTCTAATATTTTACAATAAAAATATGATGACTAAATAGAACAGAACATGGTACCATTTAGCTTGAAGGATTTTGTTACTACATCAATTATCATGTTTCTGGGAGTGAAAACCTAGAATCTTTCTTATCGTCTCCTCATCACATAACTCATAGACATAGTCTCCAAAGATAACATGTTCTGGTGGATAAACAAGCAAATTTTCTGCAACAAAGAAACAAAAGGAATAGTTAATGGAATGCAGCAACAAATACCAGAAATACCAGAAGAAGATATTACATTTGTGCTTTAGTACACATGACAAAACATATGCAACATCATGGTTTAAGCAGCAAAAAAAATTCTCAATGAATAAACCAGAAACTAAGATATAAGCATTGTTTATCTCTTATATGGTTCTAAACAAGAAGGGAATAGTAGCAATCATATTAATTTCAGGGAATAGTAGTTAAGCATATTGAATAAACTTGAGAGGTTAAGCATTGGAAATTGAAGCAAATGAAAAATAGTATCTGCATTCCACAAACTAATCAAGAATCACTTATCATTTATAAGGAAAGAGAGTGCAAATATTGTGGAACTACTACAGAAAAGGGAAGAGATAATCTCACAGAAAAGATAGAATATGTGGAATATATAAATATCAAAAGACTACTAATAGGCAACCTAAAAACAATGTCTGATTAATTAGTAATCACATCCTAGAAAAAGAAAACTGAACAGTCGATGATGAAAATGGATTACATCTTTGAACGAAAAAACTTGAAAAAGGCCAGAATTAGAAACAATGAGATGATGTTCTTGCATTTAATTATTCTGGTTCTGTGGTGGCATCCATTAACTAAAAACAATATAAAAAGTTCCTGAGCAACCCTTTAAGTCTTCGTCAAGGGTGTACCAACCATAGAAAATCTAAGATATGCATGTTAGAGTTCAATTTGCCAAAGTTGAGTAACAAACACTAGAAAGACAAAATAAAAGTGGCTTCTATTACTGCCAGTTCAACCAAAAGTGATTTCAATCACAACAGATATTAAATGTGGACAGAAAAAAGGATCAATAAAGATACAACATACCTCGTATTCTTCAAACTCAAAACTTTCAATGACAACAACACTTGCTACATGATTAGGAGGGGGACGAAGCAGTCCTTGAGCTTTTTCCCACGTTAATTTCAACTCTATAAAGTCTTCATTATGAATTCTTAGATGCTTACTCTTTGAACCTAACATGCTATTCTTCATCTTTCAAACTGCGTACTGAAATGCATATATAATGTCCTCTAGTGAAAAGAAAACCCAAAGAAATCATATACAAATGCAAGTCCATGAAAATATTTCACCTTCACAGATTGCAAGTAGCTCGTGAAGATGTTCCCTGTTTCTTAGAGTCACCTCAATTAGTTTCTCTACAATGGTTCCCCTCTGTTGAGTGAAAACAATGTAGTAAAAAACTTACACTCGTGGAAAATGATGACTGGGAAGCATAAAGAATTGAGAAATCTGTTACCTCTGGATCATCTAGCACTCTTAGTGGGTAGCTATCAGGGCTAATGAGGTCTCTCACGGCTTCATTGTATATTTCCATGGCACATAATTTCACCAAAAAATCTCTTTCCCCATTCTAACATATTAATCAAAACAGAATGTCATATATATATATATATTCTACACTCCCAAGAAACAGAAGAGGTAGATTTCAGATATAATATATATGAGAAAGAATAGTCACGAGTCTATAGTTACGTTCTCGATGTAGTCGTATATATTCGATACTGCATATTCAGTGATACTCCTCATTGTATACGTCTTTCCACTGCTTGTTTTCCCATATGCAAATATGCTTGCTGAAGGAAAAACAAAGCACAATGATTAGAGACATTTTCTCTGGATTATATAGTTATAGACACAACGAACAGGAAACAAACAATACTTACAATTGATTCCCTCGAGTACTAAGAGCGCAATATGTTTAGCTCCTTCCTCGTACACTTGAGTTGTATCACATTCACTGTCAAATAGTCTGTCTGTTTGCAACAAAATTGACAAAGAAAAGAATACAGTGATTAGAAGACGATCTCAATTCTCAAATGGGCAAAGTGAAAATAGAAGCAAGTGAATTTGGAAATGTTTACCAAATGTGTAGGCTGAAGGGAACACGGAGCGTTCTGGCAAACTATGCTTGAAAACGATGGTGTGATTGTTAGGGCATTCCCAATCACATATATGATTCCTTGCTTTATCATTCAGTGGCCTTAATCTAATGGAAACCTGATCAGATGCTGAAGTAGTTGAAGCCTTTCTGAAACACATAATCAACTTCCCTCAAGGCTGTAATCGACTAAATGTTACTGCAGAAACAACATAACTATGAGTTTCAAAATAGATGCAAGTATAAAATGATAATGCATGATCATAGAGAGAAAAAAGCCACGGGCAGGTAAGAAAGATAAAACAAATGCACGAGAGTGTGAAACAAAACTATAAGGTGGAAGCCAGAGTTTAAGTTGATTATGGAGATGCTTCCAAGTAAAGGGAAAAAATAAGCGGGAAATGATGAAAATAATGGGGGGGGGGGAATTAAAAGACGGCTTTTATAGATGACACACAATTAAAAAGTGTACTTCGTGTTTTTTCAATTTTTTTTGGATTATGACTATTAAATATGACACACATTATTGTAAGTCATATATCGTTCTTATTTTAAGAAATATGACATTTTTTTGTTGACACACAGTTTTTGCAAGTCATAAATTAGCGTGTGTCATCGTTCGTGTGTCATTAAAGGCATATTTTCTTGTAGTGTATTACTATGGCTTTAAAATATGTTTTAACTACTAATGTTTTTAAGGGATATGTATATATTTCTCTGTTTTGTTGGAACACACTAGATTCTCCAATTCAATATTCTGAATATGTCTTTCAGAATACTTCATTCGGACCGTAAATTCATGTTTGTAACTGAAGACTTAGCTGATGGAATCTAAAATCACCGATAGAATCTGATGGTGTCTGTCTCACTAAAGAAAGCTATGTTTTACGATATATCTAATGACCTATTGCATTCATCTGGTAGTTCTATATTACTAAACTTTCCAAAGCTTACCCTGTTACTTACCATTTCAAGTTAAAGAGTTCGATCATGTGTTCGTATCGACATCAATAAATGAGTCCCATAGGCATTTCTTGCAAAGTACGATACATGTAATTAGGGGTCATATAGGTTGTATTCTGTTTTTATATCCAAGTCTGAAACTTGTTTTATTATTGGATATTGTTGAATTCTATTTCAATAAATAAATGATTTTCTGAACTTGTATTTTATCTATAAATTATTTTACAGTTTTAAATGGATTAACAAAAATTTTAAATTTTTCAGGATTTTCAGTTTGGGTTGCTCCGGTGACCCTAATATGACACTCCAGATCGGATCGGATCACTCGTATTAGTCTGATGGTGTTACACTAATTTAAAAACATCTCACACAATAAATTTATGATCATGAGTCATATACTCGCTTAACAAGATTTTTACAGCCTATTTTCTTCATAATATTGGATGGACTCCACTTTTAATCACTTTATCTCATCCATGATTACCTACAGCATACCATTGTGACACTATGCCTGAACTTATAAAATCATATGACATTATAAGATAAAGAAGTCCTTTATATTAAATACTAAGGTTCTTGTAAAGAGGGATAAGTTGCCAAAATTTTCTAGCGACTCATTGACAACTAACTCTTATAAAATAGTCTCGATGTCTCTGAACCCATCAAGTGACTTTAGTGATAAAGAGAATGTTGATCGATCTCTCTAAAGATTATGGGTTCGAGCAACGACATCTGTAAAGTGTGTGTTGTTAATAGGTTAAGACAATTGTGAACAAATACCATCTTATAATCACTCAAGACTATTTAGAAAAAAAATCTCAATGTCTCTTACCATCATCAAACTTATTGAATGATTCTTTGTCCTTTACAGAACGAACGTCCTAAACTCATGTCACCATTTCTTTTGTTTCAAAGGTATTATACTTATTATTTTTATTCATAGTAGTTTTTAATTGAAATTTCTACTAGCCTTCCTCTAATAATGAAGTGTTTAGTACAAAAAAAATTTGGAACACTAAGTGAGAGCATCTTAGTGGCATAAATGGATACCCTCAAATGTATAGTGTAGATTTGTTTCATTGTTAGATGCCTAATTTGAAGCACTAGATTGGTAGGCCAATTGGAATTCAATTTGGGGTAATGTTAAAAATGGAGAAAATAAAATAAAAGGCCAATGAATAGGTATTAACATGGAATTTGAATTCATTTTAGTGGTTACCGGTAACCTCTTTTGTTTGACCAATCACTTACACTTTAGATGACCTGGTTTTAATTAAAATATAATTAATTAATCAGAAAATATAAACAACTACCATTAAGAAACTCGTTCTCTTGAAATCGCTTCCTCAATTTTAAGTTTTAATTTATTTAATTTTAAAAATATTATTTTTTCAGTCATAAAATAATTGGGATAAACTACACGTTTAGTACCTAAACTATTAGTTTTGTTTCATTTTGGTACACAAACTTTTTTTAAAAATTATACCTAACGTTTAGTTTATGTTTCAATTTAGTATCTCATCGTTAAAAATTAAAAGATCTATTGACGTGAAATTTTTTTCAACGATGACACATCAACATCACCTACAAGTTTTTAACAGTGTAGTACCAAAATTAAATATAAACTAAATGTTAGGTATATTTAAAAAATTAAAGTTTGGGTACCAAAACGGAACAAAGTAATAGTTTAGGTATTAAATATGTAATTTATCCAAATAATTAATATAAATTTTAAATTGAATTAGTTTCAGTTTATTCATGATCATTAATTGTATAAATACATTGTTTCCCTACAATTATGATAAAAATAATATATTAAACAAATTTTATTTATTTTTATTATTTTAGTTTTTATAAGCTCCCTTTGATCAGATATTACATCATTAATAATTTAATATTTTTATAGAATTTTGCCTCAATTCCTAAATTTGGTTGGCAAAGGAATAAGGGTAAAAACTATAGGTTTCGTACCTAAATTATTAGTTTTATTTCATTTTAGTACCTAAACTTTCATTTATTTCAAAATCATACCTAACGTTTAATTTTTGTTTTATTTTAGTATCTCGTCATCAAAAACTTAATGAAACTTATGCATGTGATATTTTTATGGATAAATTACATTATTAATCACTTAACTATCTTCTCACTCCTAATTTGGTCACTAAAATTTAGAATTTTCAATTTAACTACTCAACTTTCAAATTGCTCATGTTTTAATCACTCTAATTTATTTTATTAATAATTCTTGTGATATGACATTTTTATTATTTTATTAATATATAATTAAACTAAAAAATATATAAATTTGAAAGCTAGAGTGATTAAATTAGGAGTAATTTAAAAGTTAAGTAATTAAATTAAAAAATAAACTTCAGTGACCAAAATAGGAGTGAGAAGATAGTTGAGTGATGAATGATATAATTTACCCATAAAAAGTGCATGTTGTAAATTGTAACATTTTATTAAGTTTTTAATGGCAATGTACCATAATGAAACAAAAAGAAAATGATAGGTATGATTTTGAAACAAATGAAATTTTAGGTACCAAAACAAAATAAAACTGGTAGTTTATTTACTAAACATGTTTACCCAAGGAATAATGTTCTTTTGCTGTATATATTCAAACAACTACGTGCGCACGCCCACCCAATAATATCTTACCAACTGTCTTTTAGAAAATGTTATCATTGGTAGTATCAATAATAAAACACTTTCAGTTCATCAACGTTTAAAGATTTTCTTAAAAATTACTATAATTAATTATATTATGAGGGTAAATTTGATTGCATAATGTGGCGGGAAAATGGCTTATATAGGATGTAGGAGAATTTTTTTTTCAATCAGAGTGAAATAAACAATGAATGAGGGAAGATGTTCAGATCATTTGGCGTCTTTGGAAAAATATCGATAAGACAAAGACGTTGAGAAGACACAACATCTTCTCTATGTTGTATGCAGTTGGAACGCTAAGCTTAACAAAGCGTCTTCCCAAAGACGTCGAGTGATTCGGACGTTTTTCTCAAAAACACCGAATGGTTTAGACCTCTTGTAAAAATACTATGACAAATACTTTATTTCAATAAATAATTCTTCCAACACTCTAAAAAACCAATTTTTTTAGCACCATATTTATATGATTTTACCACATATCTTGAGTACTGAAAATAAAATAAAATAAAATAAAATATTATTTTATGTACAGTTTTTAAATTCTACTAACGAAGTTAAAAAGTTGTTACCAACAACCAGTTTGTCTAGTGGGACGAGGCATTAGGTTCCTTAAGCAAGGTCAGGGGTTCGAATCGTGATGTTTGAGAATAGAGCAAATTGGATTGGGAGAGTCGCCCTCGCCTCTACTACCCGATCTAGATTAGTCGGTCAATAGATTGAATATCAGTGATTAATTCAAAAAAAAGTTGTTAAATATTAAATAAACGTAATGCATACGATCAAGTCTAGATACTATGAGCGTGAGTGGAAAGGGTATCCTTCTCAAAAATTTTGGTCTAATAATATTTTAAATTTTTATCAATTTAAATTTAAATAAAATTAAACTTTTACCCCTTTTAATTTTTTAAGTTATATACTTAATAAATTCTTATTATTTTAAATTTAAATACTTTGTACCTCCCAATATTTGAGCCTAAAATTGCTAACAAAATTGTCGAATGTTTAAGGTCATGAAGTGACCTTGTTGATGAATTACTATTTAATTTAGTATTGAAAATTATTTCTATCTTTACACATAAGAATTACAAAACTTAGTGGGTCAATATATCGTTCAGATTATATATATTAAAAAAACAATGTAAATTTTCAATTTTTTTATAATATTTTAACTTTCAATATTTTAAATTTTGTCAAAATGATCTCTGTTTAATGAAAAATTATTATTTAAATAAAAATCAACGTATATTACTGACGTGATATTTTTACATATATTTAAATATTGATGTGACAAATTTCACGTGATTGTCTTAGGTGACACATTTCACGTTATTATCTTAGGTGACATGACATATTTCACGTGATCATCTTCGATGACATGATATATGTCACACATTCACATTGGAGTTACATGACAAATGACATATCAACAATATACGTTGTTAATCAACTAAAGATTTTCAGTCAACATGATTCATTTTAACTAAAAATAAAAACATATAGGGTTAAATAACTAAAAAAGAATTAAAGA